ACTTGTTTAAGAATCTCAGAGAACACCTTCGTCGAGCTATATTCTTTTGAAATAGAGCACCATGCTCTAACGTCAAAGTGTCTATTATCAATAAAATGATTAAACACCTTTCTAGCCAAAGTGGTTTTGCCGAGTCCTGGCATTCCAACAATCGAGATAATGTCTAGTTCCTTTGTTCCTCCAGTCAATTGTTGAATTATGCTTTTTGCATCCTCCTCAAAACCAACTACTTCCTCTTCCATTGATGGAAGACTATGTTGGGTGGAAGCCGTTGCATGAGCAAGAGATCTTTCACCACCCTGAATGCTCTCCATGCCAATTAGCTTTGTCTCTCTTCGGCTGCTAGAAATAAATATTACTATGTTAGATCGATTGGCAAAGAGTTGTCGCGTAATGTTCAAATTAAATCTTACGAAGTACCTTTTCTTCTTGATTCCCCGGTTGTCCCTGTACAGAAACTTATTCTTCCTCACTTCACTGTTGTTGAAAGACATTCTATTGTTCACGTCAAATTAAAAGAAGACCATGACAATGAAGGAAATTAGAAACTAGAATAAAAATTAGCTATAGTATAATATTAAGGGTCAAATTCGTTGAAAGGCAACTTGAGGCAGCTTTACATTGTCATTATCAAATTTTTTTTCTATATATTAAGTTATTTATTGTAAAATATTAACTCAATTTTGTCACTTAAAGACTTTAGTTGTCAATTATAATTTTATTTTCAAGAACTATAGGGCCAACTCTTCATTACTAAATTTCTAGTAGATCAAAATAATCAGTTTTTAAATTTGTATGATTTGAAAAAAGTCGCATAATACTCTGATTCCTAATAAAAGATATCCAAAGCTACTAGAAATTATAAAAAGTATTTATGCTCGTCGTATTCTTTATATGGACATCTGAGGCCAATGGTTCATACTCTTGACTCATACCGATGAGAATTTTACCTCCTCGAAATTGAATAAAAGGCTACTAAATTAGTTGCTTTTTTTTTTTATGGATGATTACCTGTAATTACATTGTAGATAGAATGAGAGTGTATATAGAAGTTACATGAATATCTTTAAAATTTAGCTACCTGTGCTATCAGCTGGTTTTATTTCTTGTGAAAAAAACCCAAAAGTAATCTTGGTAGATCTCGTTGATACCAACATACCAATCATTGTTCATTATTATGGGGTATTATCACTTTTAGCTCGTGCCAGAAACTATTTACATCTGGTAACTAAAAAAGTGTATAAAATTTGTATAATTTTTTTATATAACATACATAATGTATATTTATACAAACAAATTTCATACATCTTTTTGACTGTTACTCCCTCCGTTTCATATTGTTTGAGGTAGTTTGACTCGGCACGGAGTTTAAGAAAAAAAGAAGAACACTTTTAAAACTTGTGCTCTTAAAAGATTAAGGGGTAAAAAATTTGTGGGATCATACCATTTATGTGGTTATAAAAGCTTCTTACTAAGAGTACTAAGAGCAAAAAAGGTAAAATGAAGAGTTTAAAATTGAATTATTTCCAAATTTAGAAATGTGTCATTCATTTTGGAACAGACTAAAAAGTACCTCAAACAATATGAAACGGAGGGAGTATTTTTTTAGCGGCTATATATACAGTGTCATTTTCCAATTTCTTTTCATTTTTATGCCTAGAGTACTACTGTTTAAGGCCTCATTAGCCACTATAAGGATAAAATTCAAGCTATCTCTCTAGATCGGGTGGGGGTTTCTTGGAAAGAAAATCATTAGCAAAGCATAAACATCAGACTAAAGAGATTTTAAAAAGAATAAAAATCATTACAATAAATTTTAAAAAAAAAAAAGGTTCAAGAAATAGGATCCATACATAGACATAAGCAGAGAAAATCTCACCTTGCACTAAGAAAAGCCGCTGAAGAAAAGATTAATTGTTCTGAATTTATGGTTTTGGAGTAGAGGAGTTTGGAATAGGAAAGAAGATGGTGTAAATGAGAAACTGAAGTAAACAAGTGATGATTCATAGTTGTGGTTGGGATTATTAAATTTAATTAATAAACAATTATGTTTATATTAATCAATCCTAGCCTAACCCCCCAATCAGGAAGGTGGCTAAAAAAAATAAAAAATAAAAAATAAAATCCTGCACGTTGAACAAGAATTTCAAACTTATGTTCAGACCTAACTTATGTCTGGGCATGATTAAAATAGTTTCTTAAATATACTTTTGAATATTTTGGTTATTTGAGTTTACTAAAAGTGAGTACTTTTGGTTCATCGTAGCAAATTCTGCTATTAGATTCAACGGAAAAGGGCCAAATCTGCCGCTAACCTATTCGCTTAAGTTTAAAAATATTCTCCGTCCACATATTTTGTAAAAAATGCTCTCACCGTTAAAAATGTGGCACATTCATGCCCCTAATGTCAACTTTTCGTCTTACTTATACCCTAAAAACTAACAGCCCTATTTTGATTAAGAAAAAAATTTATTATTTGTTATGTGTTAATTTTCTATTGGCTTAAATTAAAACCTCACCCTATATCCACTTATAAGTCTACCCCATCTTAAATTTTCACCCTTCAACACCCACAGATCTTCTTCTCCATCTCAGATTTTCCGGCCTTAATTTAATTTTTAAATTAACATTTTTTATTACATTAATTTTCTAAGTGAAATCATGCACTCTTTGAAATTATGCTTCATTGTAAGATTTATGGTTTAATAATTTTTTTTTTGCCAACATTATATTTATTGTGCCACCATATAGCTTTTAAGAGTTAATTGAAATCATATGATCAATACTTTACGTCATACAACTTTCACCTGAATATATGAACACTAGCAGAGTATCAATAATAATGATCATTGAGCATTTACAATATTTTTTGTTGTATATTTTCTGACAACTTCGCATCCAATTTTGATTATACTAAAGATTATTTGGTCTCTGCTCGGACCTCGACCTTTTTCTTCTTCATTGGCTCACTATAGTTTAAACATCCGACCATGTCCATAAATTAAGCTATTGTACGAGGATGCTCTTCACGTTATATCAACACCGCCAATTTTTTTTTTTTTTAAAAAGATGAATAAATCAAGAGAAATATTTGAGATCATATGCCTCAGAATATGAGAGAATACGACTTATTGGTGAATGTGACTGTAATAAACACTTGATTGAGCTTATTGTATGAAGCAGTAAAGTGCAGTAAGAAAAATTGACGATGAATATTATTTCTGTGATGGAAAAATAGGAGTATTTATGTGTACATTTAATATACAAAGAAATAGGAAGAGGAAGGTGATTAACTATACGAGGGAGTTTTGTTTGCTTAGGGAAAAAATGGGTGTATGAGAGTTCTAGTTGGTGGAATAATTTTTAAAAGAAAGGAGAAAGAAACGGAGGAAAAGGGTCTAGGAAAAGGGTCTTAGAATGTGGGTGAGTTTATTTTAATTAGGTGAGTCTTAAGTTAGACCAATGGGACGATGACACATGAAAATTAATTAAGTATTTTTTTGCCTAACATGGTCTTTGAAAGTTGTATGACGTAAAATATTGGTGACAAAAATTTTTAGTTGTCTGAAAATAAAACTTTAATGATGTTTGTAGTGATTATTCAAAATAGAGTGTAAGGTCAAAAAAAGGATGAGAAGAACAAGAAGAATATGAACGCACACACGCTAGAGGGGGAGGGTGGAG